TGGTGTAGTTGTTGCATGGACACACTCTAAATGTGGCTGATTTCACAAGAATCACAAGGTTTTAGAAATGTTATCCAGTGAGAGTTATTTTTGCGTATTTATGTTACAGAATTGGAGATACTGAACATTTTTATGCACATTTGAAGTGCCACTTAGTTTTGAGTATTTATCCATAACAGAATTTGAGGACATATCTGTACTCATATCCTTTCTAAGATCCGTTCTTTTTATTGCACTATTAAAGTTCTGCAGGGTCGGCTTTGCTTAGTCATTTCAAAGACATGAAGTGCAGCAGCCTTTCAGTCTCTTTTTTATCGTTATATGTTGCTTATCAGGTAATTTGATTATCAATTTTAGGGATGACTTTTATTATTTAATAGTAATAATGACAAATGTGCAAAAAAAAGAGACTTATTTGTAAGTTAATTTATACTTATGGGTTGGGGGTGAGTAAAACTAAAGCAAAGTTATGGTACAAACATGTTGATTCAAACAGTGCAATTAACTATCTCTATATTACATGTCATGAAATATAAAATCTATACAAGAAATAATAATATCATTTACTTTTTGACTGTGTTGCTCATGTGTGATTATGCATTAACATGTGTCATAAAGGGAAAAACAAACATCAGACCATCCATTTGTCATTTTTTTAAAAAGAAAAAGAGATGTTCATACTTTTATTCAAGTCTTTCTTTCCCCTAATTATGAAAAACAAAAGCATTTCAAACTCATCTGCGTACGTCATATTGTCCTTTGTGGAAATACTTAATGCATTCAAGGTCGGGCAAGAATAACTGCTGGTGTAAAAAGAAGGAAAGTGTTTGTCTGTGGAATCGCTTTACTTATATAAGAAAATATTAAATACTAAAAGAGATACATAGACTTTTTTTTCAATTTCATTTTTTTTTTTAAATGATGTAAGCTCATAATAGATCTCTCTGCCTTTTGATTTTTTTTCACACAAACAGACAAACTGATTTTAAGATTTAAAGATGATAATAATATTTCAAGTCTACAATTGTTAGTGGCTTTTTTATCAAGTCTTTACCATTTGCTGGGGGTGTGTTAGTTAAACCGGAAAGATGAAACACATGTTATTTAACCTTGAATAAAACATTATAGAGTCACTATAAAGTAACTATTTAATAATATAATTATCTGTAACACATTTCATGATGATCAGGTTCGATTTCATTAAATCTACAATAGAAAAAACTGCAGTAAAAGTAAGTCTAAATCTGCATGTAAAAAGTTCATTGTTTTAGCCAGCAGATGTCACCTTTGCTTTGTAAGTGGTTGCAGAAGCTGTGGCTCCAGCTGCAGCCCTTTCATTTCAGTCTGTGTGGTATGTAAGCAGCCGGATCATGAACTCTTCTATGATTTAGTCTAACTTATTCCATCAGTACGGCATTTAGAATATCTGATCTGACTGATAAAATTCCTTTTCCCTCTTTCTCACAATGCACACAGACACTTGTGTAGGAGAAAGAGCTTAGACAGAGCGCAGGGAGAGGGAACAATTTATGTGGGTAAACAGGGAGGTAAGTACTGACCCACAGAATAAAAGAAGCATCTGAGCAGGAGGTGGACTAATTTAACCGATCTTTACTCCGCTGCAAACTTGAAGCCCTCTCAATACCTCTCTGGCCTTCATGAAAGAGCACTTGAACGGCTGAAAAACATTCCAGAGCGAGAAAGTACCTGGTGACAGAGAGCAGCTTCAGTTTAGAGAGAGAGCGGGAGGGAAAGGTTCTTATCATGAGCATGAAATCATTCACAGGCTAACCCAAGAAAGTGGATTCTGTGGGCTTTTTTATTTTTATTATTAATGGCAGCTTTCTTTGGAGTTCCAATATTACTTTTGATGATACAAGTTATGGATCTCCCTTTCTGCTGTTCACAGGAAGCGCATCCAGAGGAGAGCTAAAGATAAAGAAGAGATGGCACAGACAGACAGAAAGCTTATCTTTGTGTTTGTTAATTAAAGATAAGACGTGGGAGAAAAACCATTGCTTTGCTGTTGCTCACACATATGGGGGACTGATTTTATGTTTGCATATTACAGTGCAAAGCAGAATTCCTTCTCCTAAATCCCTGTGCTTGCCACATATTTATTTGTGTATCCTGATTTGACAAATTGTAGAAGCATTTGTAAGCAATTAGGATAAAATGGAAATTCAGTTGTCTTAATAAACCGCTGATGAAAGAAAATGAAATGAATGAAACACACAGAGCATATAATTCACAAAGAAAAATAAAAAAGGTATACCATTGTCGAATATTATAATGGATGGAAAGGTTTACCGCTTCTTGTGAAGGGTTGTGGAAAAGTCAGGGGGGACTTTCTAATGTACAAGTGATGCTATAGAAGAAGAGTCAAAATCGAATTACAGAGTCTTTTAGCACACTCTTCACTCTCCCTCATCTCAGTTTCTCAGAACACATGACAACATATAGCTTTCAAGTTGATCCACTGCACTCAAGGCAATATTTTCTGAATGAATTTAGAAACAATGGGAATATTCAATGCATTTTTACTCACTTCAGTAGAGAGCCAAAGAGACGTGCTATAATGCTCGCGTGCACACGGACGTGCGCAGCCGTTCGCACTATAGAGCTGCAGATGAATGTCATGGTGGGAGAGTAATTGTATCCCCTGTGACTCGAATTAAAGCACTGACCTGGTTAGCTTTCTGTCAGCAAGAAGGGGTGGGGGTGCTGCCCCCACAATTCCCACCCACATTAACTCTTCAAAGATTAACTTGTTGACTGACTGAACCATGAGGAGCACCCTGAGCAACAGAATCGTGGAAGTGACACACCCAGGGATAGCCTTGGGAAGAGAAAATGTTAACAAGTGCTTAATAGCCATCTTCTTCTCATCTGCTGATAAAAACAGAACACGCATTGGGAGATGAGTTGTTTCTTTCATTTTAGTAATGTAGTGATAGTAAGGCAGATTTGGAAGGGCTTCACTACAAACCCCTGAACGCCACAGATACATTGCCCGGCCGGTGGCATGCCAAATCATGCCAGTTTCATGTATTTCATTTCTTTACATGGGGGCCATGAGCAGGTTAAACAGCCTTGACCTTTGTTTTTACTGCAGACCTTTTGATTTGTCATTGCAGGAAAAATAGAGGTGGAAGTAATAACATTATCAATGATTCAGTTAGATGTAAGTGTCCCAGAAGGGCCATAATGACTTGCTCATGCAATGTGCCATGGAAAACCCACGCTAAATGTAACTGGGGCATTATTAATGCTATTAATTACACCTGTGCCGCCCAATAACCAGTGAATTACAAGCATGAATGCCTTTGCCACCAGCACCTTTTACATAACAGTTCAAAAGGAAAACAGAGGACTGCTCAGAGTTATCGGGGTTGATGTTTTTTGGATAATATCTTTAATTTTCTTTAACAACAACAACAACAAAAAAGCTGGGCAGCATGCTGGTGCAGCGGTTAGCACCACAAAAAGGTCAAATTCAGCCTGGGACCTTTCTCTAAGGAGTTCGCGTGTTTCCCCTGTGCATCTGTGGGTTCTCTCTAAGCACTCAGGGTTCCTCCCACAGTTCAAAGACATGCATGAGGTTAGGTTAACTGGTGATTCTAAATTGACTGTAAGCACAAGCAATGACAGACATGAAAAAGCAAACTCCTCTAAAATAAAACATGGCAATCCACATTTCAAAAACAAGTGTTCATGAAAAAAAAAAAAGAACACCGGTTCAAATACTGCATGGTTGAGATAAAGTCCAAGTTATTTACAAAGTCGAGAATGTTCCCAAACCTTTTTAAATATTTTTGTTTGGTTAATTTTATTCTGTTGTTTTGGTTCTTACAAAGCAAAGCACTTATCTTTTTAGCACTCAGTAAACTGACAATGATTTGTTTTTGTTCATTTCTATTATGATTATTTCCTTTTGGAAACAAACCAAGTAAAAACAAATTAGCTGGATCTGAAATACTCTTCTCACATCACCTACTGTTTTCTAAAATATTTTAATGTCTCTCTACACTTCCAAACACAGTGAAATAGCATTACGGTGAATTGTATGTCTGGCATGTTTTTATCATATGATTTGACCTGGCAGGAGTTACATATGTTTAAAGGAGCCAGTAACAGTTTGTAAATCAGAGGTGTATATTCACCATGCCAGTCTGAACTCCATGCATGCTGATTTTCAATCCTATGCTGAGATTTAAGTTTCCACATATTTGTCTGACATTTTGTGAACTCCCTGATGAACAGGATGTCAGCACTGTGATATGATGCCCTTTTTAAAAAGTACTCCATCATCATTATTACGACAAATATATTTAGGGGGAGGTCTAATACATGAATTATGATGTTTTAATCACATGTTTAACCGAATTTTTTCAGAGAAAAAACAGATGGGAGGAGGAAGCTGCCTTGTGAAAGTATTGTCAATCATATCAAATAATACTTATAAGAATATTTAAAGGGTTGAATGGTATGAAATGTAATCCAATTTTGATAGGATTGGTTGAATGTGTTGCTCAAATTCAAAATGGTGGTGAATGTCTGGAGTCAATGGTTAGACCACATATGTCAAATAAAAAAATGCTTTTTCTACATTTCGATGTTAAAGAATTAGAGTAGAAGACGTTGCATGTAAAATAAGTTTAATTACTAAAAGGCCAAGCCTTCCACCAATTTATTTTTTAACTAAAATATGATATAATTTAATTGTAAATCCTGGTGCCTATTGAGAAACAAAGAAAGTAGACCGAATTCATATTTTTGGCAGCCGTAAAGGATGTGGATTTATTTATTTATTCTGTGAGAAGACACATAAGGGGGGGAAGTGATTTGATGAATCAATATAATATGTCGGGTTATCAACAGAGATGACGTAATGTGTATACTAATGGAGTATTCCTTTAGGGGGAGGTTGCTGTCGAACCTCGACAAATTACCATTTACATCAATTGTCAGGTGAGCCCCCAGTCTCCCCGCTCCACGATCATAGATGGTACAGTCCGCATGCAGTTCGGAGTTGTTGCTGAGGAGGTTCCACTGTTCCGCACATACTGTTAGATTGGCATGCATCCTACGCTTTGGTCCTGTGGTCGAAGGCTCCACGGCTTTTGAAAATGTTACCGTCTTCTCAAAGGAGTTACTTCAGACAGCAGAGGAAGGTTGCATTATTCCTCCTTTTGTTCAGTATTACAGGTGAGTGCTGATTTTGTGTGTGTGGTGATTTTTGGGGGGTCCTACCAACGTTACAGAGAAGTTTTGTGAGGAGCCTGCGTGAGTGTCTCGCGCATCACGGATAAATTTCAGTCGGCAAAACTAGCTGCCGCCGCGTGCTTATTTGAAGCCGCAAGTCTAGCAAGTTTAGCCGGTGGCATTTAAAGCCCCAAACTTGGTTACAAGTTCACTCCGACGCCTCGGGAGTAGTAGCTAGCCAGCGCCACCACAGCGGATGCTGGTGCGAACCCGGGCTGCCATAGAAACAGTCCGGAGAAACCGCCGAGCAGCGCGAGCGGTGATAGTCAGTCAGATATACCGTCCGCTACACAGCCTGCACTTAGGTCACTGCAGACTCAGTGGCAGCCATATTAGCTCCCGAAACAGTTTCTGTTAAAGTAACATGATGCAGTGAAGTATGTCACGCCAGCTGCTCGTGCAGAAATGTTGAGGAACTTCAAGTCGTGTCACCAGAGAGGACAATGCTAGCGCAGCACTCCCCCCGCCCCCCTCATCATCAGGTCGGGATGAGGGTCAGCCACCATGTGCCTGCAGAGGAGCCTGAGCTCATTATGGTTTAATCAGGGAGTGGGGAGTTTCCTGACTCCACCCTGAAGCACGCCAACTTTGTGCTAAGTGTTGACTTAAAAGCACGAATATGACAGTGTAGCTCTAACCCTGCCTCTAAACTGCTTTAATCAAGTATGATGCTAAAACTATCTGAACAAAATATACTTCTTCTTTTTTTCCAGTTGAACATCTATAATTAAATCTTTGTCATGCCCAAGAATAATGATGAGTTGCAGCCAGGTATCCCGAGCTAGAGTGAATCAGAGCAAGCACTTTACTTCACTCAGCAATCTTTCCATATCTAAAGGGCCATGAGACTGACTAAACGCATCAACAAAGTAGATGTATACACTGCTTAGAGGGGGGAACAAAAAAGCAGGTACACATGCCACTGTAGGCTACCTGTGTGGACACACCAGCACCATATCCCTGTTTTGATAGTAGAGGGACTCTCTTGTAGTTTTGCAAGCAGACCAAAGAAAGCTCTGGTCTCCTACACTACACCAAAACCCAGTGAAGCTCCATAACTCTCTAAAGACCTGACATGAGTTTACTGACTCACTCTAAGACTGCGGTACATTTCAATGAGGAGGTTGACCTTGTCTTTGTTGAATGCAAAATAGATGCATATACATTTATGGCTAATAATGTTTAGGCCTTAAAGGGAAATAAACATAAAATATGATGAATAAAAAGTAACCAGACCTATCATAGATGTCATAACAACATGTGGAGCAGAAGTGTTAAGTACAAGTTCAGCAACAGGTCTGGTGCTATGTGTTTGGAAAAAATACACCAAGAGTCATGTATGGAAATCAAGGTTTCTCTTGTAGTTTTGGAGAAAAATAATGTTTTTGTGACTGGAATATGGATTGGGCATATACTGATTTCAGTAAAACAGACTCTTTGCCTTTACTGTGGGCTAGTCACACCTCTGAAGGCCCATTCTGAGGTAGGACCCCACCCCACAATCAAGATAATTTGTGCTTGAGCTTCAGATAATCGGGTTCAACAGCCAAAATCATCATGCCAACTATTCTGCAAAGCTTCCAGAACACGCAGGAGGCCTCAAACTTAGCTTAGCACCTCAGAGAGAGGCATGTGGGCATATCACAGAGTGGTCACATAAATTTTAAACTTGTAACAATGTGCTGTCATCAACATGTTGTGATTCTGAAACAGTTACTTTTATTGTGTGGGAACTGTGGCTGTAGCCATCAGTTGCAGCAATGCTCTGCACAGTTTTCACCATGACTAATGATGTGTCCCATTTGACTTGGATATCAGAGATGGGAGTGACACCACTCCAGAGTTGAACGTGTTCCTGTAGTAAAAAGCAAGGAAAAACTGCAACATAGAGCCATTCATGCATCACTAGCCATACCCAGTGGGTTGATGCCATAAGGCAAATGCAGAAACCCAGGTTCAAAGTCAACCTTGAGATTATGTACTGCCCATCTTCTGCTGGGTGTTTCTTTCCTGCCTTCTCTTCACTGGCCTATCACAATAAAGGCTCAAAGCACAAAAAATGTATATCAAAAATAAAATTCTAACTGGAAATTCAGAAATTTTGACTTCAAATGGCACACACAATAGGTTTATCTGTGCTTTGTTTATTTATCTTTTATTTATTTTTTTTAGGGTGAGCAAAGTGCTTCTCATAATTATTAGGCAACTGCCATTATTATGTGTATGTGTTTGAATATGGTGTTTATGGCAGCATTTTCAAGTTTAATATTCAAGGTTTCAGTTTAATATGAAACATTCAATTCATTGTTTTATCTGTTTGTTTATTTTCAATTGTGGTGTTGGATTTGTACAGGCAACATAAAAATGTAACTTTACAAGATGTTCTCCAAACGTTCTCCTGGAGTTAAAAGAAAAACACTGCAACATGCACACAAAGATTAGCTCAGTGTTGAACTTGAATAGCTCCTGCTGATTCACCACTGATGGACAGCCATTTTAAGACGGAGTCATTTGAAGTAAGAAGTTGATGTGACTATGGGTTAAGATCAGCTTATTAAACAGGTGTTTAATGCACTCATGTCCCTCTCTACAAAACTGGATTTCCATCTTCGGTTCTATAACCATCACCTATTATATTGTGATTTCCACTTTTAACAAGACATGGTGTCCTGTACCAAGATATTGCTGCCACACATGTAATGCCCAATAAAGTGAGAATGAGTAGCAGAATGTCCCAAGGGAGCAGTGTGTCCTTGATGCCAGGATATCTATAATCTGTTTTCTGCTCTGTGTCAATGAGAGACTGTGTTGAATTTGCAAAGCAAACTGAAAGTGTCTGAAGATTCTGCTCTTTCTGAGGATTTAAGGATTGCAAGATCTAAAAAAACACTTTCTTTTTGCTGTCTGAGAGCATCAAAAGGAGAGGGAAGGAATCGCTATTATGTGAAGATAGACTTCACATAAGATTTGATAGACTTTCTCTTCACTTTTTTTTTTCTTTTTACTCAGAGTTGGAGAAAACGAGGGCACGCTTATGTAAGGTTGTCGTCATGTCACGAATAAAAATTTAATGCAGTCGCTATACCTCTCCATTACACATTCAGTGCAGGAAAAGTGCTGCTTTCTTCCTTCACTATGCCTTCACTCATGCAATTTAGTCAAGTCATTCAAAAGCTTGTACAACGAGCTTTCTTTTAACTCCAGGAAAAGGTTTGTTTACAGTGTGCTGTACTGTAGTTACAGTCTGGCATTTCACACAATGTATTAATCAATATTGATATTTATTTCTAAACCTTGTTGTGGTGACATGCATCTCGTGTCAAATTAGATGGCTTTCCCTTGTTTCGAAGATGCTCTGTTTGGGGGAACTTTCTAATTAATTTGAGCATCTGAACGAATAGCAAACATTTGCTGTGGGGTATTCTTTTATGTTCTGAACAGCTTTTCCTCCCTTGAGGAAGTTGTTAACTGTGTGTTAGGCGAAATAGGGCATACGCCTGTTTTAGAGTAGCTCGACTGCTGATGGTTGGTTTGCAGTCATCCTTATCCATCTTGTATTTGTAATTTTTTCTTATTTGCATAAACATGTGGTGCCTTCCATTTGTGAATAAGCTCAGTATGCTTGTAGAAAGGAATAGACATAGCTTACAGTCACGCTTTTAATAAATCATTTTACTCTCTCCAGAGTAGTGTAGCATTGTTTGACAGAAAACTGGCTTCAGATGGCAGCAAACCTCCATGTAATGAGCTTAATGGTAATGATTAAATCATAGTAATATTTGAAAGCAATATGAAAATGTTGTTAGTTTCTTAATACGAGTAGATAAATAATTCACAAATGTTTGAGCTTCGATGAGATAATGTCATTTTGTATCCGTCAGCCATAAAAGGCTGATGGGGTATTGTCGTCACCCAAGTTTGTGAATGCAATAACTCGAACGTGGCGACGTAGAATTTTCAAATTGACGCCATACGTCTTTCTAATAAAAATCTCAGATGAGTTTAAACCTCAGTGACATCGATCTCAAGGTTAACAGTCAAGATTTCTGAAATTCTTGTGAATACGTTAACTCAAGAACAAAGTCATGTAGGATTTTCAAATTGATACAGTAAGTGCATCTATTAAAGATCTTGGACAATTTTAAATCTCAGTGAAATCTTGTGGATGTGATAACTTGAGAAAAACGTAGGACTTTGAGACTGATAACATAGGAGACTGAGGGGTAGCGCTGGCAGTCACCAGTATTTTTCCATTATATTTATCCTGAGTATTGATGCACCAGTTCCAGCAGGTTTTCTTGGTCCATTACACACACACACACACACACACACACACACACACACACACACACACACACACACACACACACACACACACACACACCATGCTGCCCTCTCACTGACTCTTGGTGCGATTCTTTTCAAGTGACTTGTTCCATTCTCTCCAGTCAACTAGCAGTATGTTAAACAGATGGCAAACAGAGTCTCTCCAAATGGTTTTGATTGATAAATAAAACAGAAGGAGCGCTGTTTGGAAAATTTTGGACTTTGAGGGAAATAAACACAGGGAGACAAACGAGCCGTTACACAAATGTTGCTACAGAGCAGTGCTCGCCAGAAGGTTTCAGAACCCATTATTTTAGCGCCTGAAGAACCAACACATGAACCTGATTGCAACCGAGGGTCAGTGACATAGGCCCTAAATTATATCAGGATATTTCTGATGACAAGGAAAAGTGTAAGCAAATTCATTTTCCATTTTGTTTCCAAAGCGAAACTCTCATTGATGACACACTTCCTAGTTTAAAGTGTTCATAGCATATTAAAGTTCTTAAATTGCCTGTCAGCTCCCCTACTTTACATGTCATCCTGTTTCTCGAATATAGCTACATATGTATGTTTTCAGCCAAAAGTGCAAACAAAGAAACGCTAAGGGCACAACAATCTATACTGCAGTTTGTAAGGTAGATTATTCTATGTCATAATGACAAAGTCACATTATAAGCAACTTAGCTTTGATTACAAGAGTTGTCTGTCATCTGGAAGTCCTAATGATTAACCTGTAATTAAATGAATCTTAAATTTTAGTGAAAACTAGAAAAACTGATAAATAAGTACAGTGTTGTTACACAACTCAAAAGGCTCCAGTGACGGTAACATTAGAAAACAGATATTTGCTTCTCATATTGTAGGGGTAGGAAAAATTCCTTGGGCTGTGCCAGTATTTGCGGACATGGCCTTTTTGAGGGAGATTGGTCAGAGACGGAGCTATTTTTTGGCAAAACAACAATAGAATATTTGAAGTCTGTTGCCAAGCAGCGCAGCAGGTTTTGATTTATGATGATGTCTTCCTGCTGGCAGCTTGTTGCAATTAGCGTAGTTGAAGGCATTGGCAGTCCTGCAGTGTTGTGTTTATTTATTTTTTATTTTTAAACCAGTAATTCCTCTTTTTTTTGTACAGGAATCCTGATGGTGCATTTCCTTCCCCTGTGTTTTATATGACTTCTCTCTTGCTTTTCCTCACGCTCAGCTTTCTCTTCTCTCATCGATGATGTCATCATGTTAGCATATCTCTTCCCTTCACCATTTCCTTTTTTTTTTTTTTTTCCCCATTTCCTCCTTCTCTCCCTGCCCGGTCGCAGTCTGTTGTCTTCATATTTCTTTGACCTTCCACAACACTGAGCTCCTGCTTTCAAGACATGCCACATTTCTGACAAGCACAGGTGACAGAGTGCATGGGTTAGTTATATTTGGACAAAACGCATACAGGCAGCCTGCTTTGAAGTCCTGAATTCAGGTCAGGAGGAGGAACACTGTAGAAACAAAACAAACTCATCAATGGGAACACTGAATCACACAGTAAACTGTATTATTTGTTGAAGATCCGAGTGTCTGCTGTGGTAGGATCAAGTTTGGATTCTAGTCTGATACCCACAGATGTCAGATAGTTCTGTATAGATATTAAATTGATTTTTTTTTTTTAACTAGTAAAGCCAGAAGTAACACCAGAAATACCCTCTTCTCAATGATGGTATTTTTGAATTCCCACGTAGTTTGAGCACAATGGCTCTGGATTCTGTACTCATTTGTTTTTCCGTCTTTAGTTGCTTGAAGTTTCGCCAGTTAAGAATTCAAAAACAACACAAAAATAGTTATTAATAGCTAGTACCATTGGGTTCATCAAATAGCTGCACCTCTGACTGGCCAAAAAGGTTGGACTCCCAGGACACTTCAGCAGGTGTCCTTAAACCCTTGTTTACAAATTAACAAGGTGATTTGTATATCAGTGTTATTTTGTGTGTCTCTTTGGCAGGTGTGTGGTGCAGCCAGGTGGTGGTGCCTAAAAGAGTGAGTGCCGTGCTGGGGAAGAATGTGACATTAGAATGCAGGGTGGAGGTTGGCACAAACCTTACTCTTACTCAGAGTTCCTGGGAGCGCCGTCTGCCTTCAGGCTCTGTCACAGTGGCTGTGTACAACCCGGAGTTTGGCACCTCCATCCCTCCAGAATTCATCCATCGTTTGTATTTCCGCTCACCCTCCTCCCATGATGCCACCATCGTACTGGAAAACGTGGGCTTTGCTGATGTCGGGATCTATACCTGTAAGGTAGCCACATTTCCTCTGGGAAATACTCAAGCATCCACCACAGTCAGTGTACTTGGTAAGTGTGTGTCTTCATTTGATATACTTTTCTTGAGAAAACACTGGCTTTCCTTTAGGCGGTTTTTGGTAGAGATAAAATAATTAGATCAATTATTCAGTTTTTATGTTTCTGTCCAAATCTTTTTGGGAGGAAAGTTTGTTTTTTGATCTTTAATATTTATGCTCTTTTGTGTTCAAATGTTCAATGTAGGTAGTAATGTGTCCTCCCTCGTGCGTGAACACATGCTGTACTCTACAAAATGTGCAATCATGCATTGAATACACTGAAAAGGTCCAGAAAAAGACAGAAAAAACGAATTTAGTCAGCATCTACTCCTGATGCTTGCATAGAAAGCTTTTATGTGCAGGTTAAATCTTGTGTTTCTAGTTTTGTGTTGCATTTATAAAACAAATTGTCATGTCTTGTGATATTATTTAACAGAATAGTACTTTATGTATGTTTGCTGTTGCCATTATTATAGTGAAGTGAATAGAAGCCAACAAACGTAAAACAGAAATCCACAGGATCATCATAGATCGTCCTCCAATATATCACACATTGCAGAATTGCGGTCTTTTGAGAGTCATTTAATTAGTTACTCTGCGTTCTCGATGCCTAGAGTGTTCTTTGTTTTCACAGAACAGATCACAGGTCTAGCTGCTAACATTAACTTGGACAAAAAGGAATAAAATGCAATTAATAATGCAGGAAAAATATCAGTGTACTGTAAACATTTGAAACTCAGTAAAGCAACCTCAAAGTCTTTACTGTTGTCTCTGTTGATTCTGTTTTCACTCTTGTTAATAACAGTGGAGCCGAAGGTTTACGTGTCTGCTGGTTCAACTGCACTGATTGATGGTGGCAATGAAACTGTGGTCGCTACTTGCATCGCTGAGCGAGCCAGACCACCTGCTGAAGTGTCCTGGGAGTCCAACCTTTTTGGCCAGTCAGAGGTGCAGCTATTTGATGAACCCAATGGTACTACCAGCACACAAGTGCGTTACATCTGGCAGCCTACACGTCATGTTCAGGGCAACACACTCACTTGCGTGGTCCGCCACCCAGCTCTGCAGAATGACTTCAGGATCCCCTACCAGCTCAATGTGCAGTGTAAGTGCCTTGTGAGTGATTGGTGTGGGCTAACAAATTAAAAACTGAAAGAATAATAAATATGTGAAGAATGTGTTTAATAATTCTGTTCCTGCCAGAGTTAGTAAGTTAGTAAGAGAAGATTTTGTGCTGTAAGATTGCGATAATCATTAAACCAGTTACCCATTGCACTTGTGGTGTCACAGCTTCACTAAATTAAAAAAAACAACCACAAACTCCAAAAAGCTGATTATGTTTTAATATTCGTTGTCTGGAAAGTGTTCTCTTCCAGTCAAATCCCATAGATGCCACAGTAAATGTACTCAGCGTAGTACAGCTATTTCGCTACGTAACATGTGCTACCAACTTATGAAAAGAGTAAAGTGACCACCTCCAAAGTCTTTGTTTGACAGATACTTTTTTTTTCTTTGCTCTGATTTACTGCTTTGTGACATATGGTAACTATAAAGGATTTTCTGCTCATTCACTGAATGCAACAGTGGAAAAAATGTGGCAACAATTTTTGCATGTAACAAAATCTTTTACTTTGTAATAGTATATTTGTGTGAAACAAATGCATACCAGCAGAAGAGCCAGGGTGGTGCAGATGACTTCTCAGAAACCTTGTGAGCACCTTAATGAATATATTTGTGCAATGTCAACGCAATATTTCAGTTACATTATTTTCATAATGAATGTGCAAATGAAAACGGTAAACCGGTAAAAATGGGGGGGGGCACCGTTTCATGGTTGCAGTTGTGTAGTGTTGATGGTTCTTTTAGGATTGTGAAAAACGTTGCAATATACAAGCACTCATGAATGTTTGCTTCTCTCTGCAGATTATGTTTATAGATTATCTAGCATCTTAGTGCATATTTGCAAGCTTATGTCTTTAGCCCATTACTGACCTCAGACTCTCTATAATGCTTCAGACAAACCAGGAAAATGGTTGTACTTGGAGCACTGTTCTCTAAGGCCATTTACTGTGTCTGGCCATTTTGTGGTCATGTCACATAATTGCTTTTCTCTCTCTTCAGTTGCTCCTGATATCTCCGTCGTTGGGTATGATGGAGACTGGTACGTAGGCCGGGAAAATGTTCAAATGACGTGCAAAGCCAACGCTAACCCGCCAGCTCATCACTTCAGATGGATCAGGTATGAGTATCCGTATGTCTGTGTGTAACGTTTACGGTTTGTCTGGGATTGAAATTGACCCAGCGGGCCAATTGTTGATCGAGCTAGGTTGTATTATACTCTGATATTTTAGTAAGAGAGCTTTACATTTGATATAAAATAAACAGTAAAATGAAGGTTTTCACATCCTTGAAATAATTTTCAAATGATAATTTATTATGCTTTCCTCATGAAATGTCCCAATCAATTGTGTGTCCCTCTGCGTGTCTTAAGGTTTCTGTCTCTTGTGTGTCACAGGTTGGACAGAGAGATGCCTGAAGGGGTGGAAATGATAAACAGCACTTTGCTTTTCCTGCGTCCCCTCCAGCGGAATGACTCTGGCGTTTACAGGTGTGAGGTTGCCAATGACATCAACCTCCGCAGTCGGGATGTGCGTATTCTCATACAAGGTGAGCAGAGTATACACACCGGAACAAAGCTGACTCCTAGTGCCTTCTCTTCCCTTAGGAAGCATTGTGCATGTTTGCACGTCATAGAGGGTATCGGTGCCTGTGTCGTTGTCCTTCAAACTGAAATGTGACACTATCACTCTCGCTCGTTCTGTACATACTGACAGTTTATCAAGTAATCACCCATGGTACACTGTGTTCATACTGATATTAATACATTTGGTCTTAATTGCATGCTTATTAGGCTTGATTAACATTACGCCTCCAGATGTTCAAAAGAGAGTTCCTGGGCCAAACAGCTGCAAATAATTTTGGCCTCTTCAGACCACAGTGCGCTGCCTCTGCTCTGTCCTGCTGGCTTGGCATCTGAGTGCGTCGTGTCTCTCTGTTGTGAATGATGAGCATGTTCCTTTGGTTTCACAAAATCTGTCTTGCCAGTGGAAGCTCTCTTTCTGAATGAAGTTCTGATTATGATGTGATTTCCTTTTTCATCACTCTCTCGCCTCCTTTCTGTGTTTCTTTTATTCCTGCATGTGTCATGCAGTGAGAGGCAAAAGCCTGCAGCCTCACTGTGAGATGATGTCCCAGATTCATAAAACATTAACTAGTTCTTTTCAACTCCTATTTATTATTTATCATTCATATTTCATTTTCCTTTGAGAGACCTGTACGGGTGTTCACAAGCTTATGCATGTTGGTGTACCCTCCATTGTGCGTGCGTGTGTGTGTGTGTGTGTGTGTGTGTCGTGTTGTGGGTGTACTCATCAGTTCACTCTTCATGGAGTTGTACATTTCACATACTTGGAGACCACAGACCTCCGGGTTCATGTGTTTGCTCTTTCAGATGTGAATCTTTGCCTCACATCTGGCCTGGCACCAGGGTTAAAGTGGCAGAGCAATTTTGCAGCACCATTAAAGCTTTTAGACTCAGATTTTTTCCATTACTCTAGCTTCTTATAATTATAGCCTTTGGCTTGTCTGTTTGTGGATAAAAACCACTAATCCATTACATTTTAAGGTTGGTGTTCTATTCGTGGAATAGTGAAAGTTTATACTTGAAAAGTGGGGTCTTAAATGTATGTTCTTGATCATTTAAAACATATACCCAAAATAATCTGCTTATACCATTGATAACCCCTACAGACTGCAGAATTTTAAGGACATCACTGGTACTGTTTGGTGTTTCTTATCATGTAGTCAAGTCACTTGTTTCTCTCTGCATGTAGAAAATGTGCTGAGCTGCCATCAGCATGTGCAAATACTTTGAAGTTACAAATTGATTGAGGGGACAACAGGGACAAAGCCTGTTGTCATATTTTATTTTATTTTTTAGTTTAAATTAATACAGAAGTAGCTGAAAACATGACCTGATCCTTTTAGACAGTTTCTAAAGACTTTGATTTATGATAGAGATAAATCCATAAGTGTTTTCAATGGGGGTTTTTTAATTTAGCAAAAATACCAAAAGTTGTAGCCTATGAAAAACAAAGTGTTGAACACATGGCATGGCCTGATTTGCCCAAAGTAAAAGAATGCACCTTAACTTAAAGATTTTAAGTAACAGTTTGAGCCATGTCAGGTCTGCTATCGCTGTCACCTGCTTTTTTCCTTTTTTGATCACAAGAGAATAGCTGTTATGTTGTGGTGTCTCGTTGAACTTTACAGAGATCTAGTGCTATGATTTTTGGGTACATACAAACTAACTCTTAGGTACAGTTACCTCAATCCCAATAAACTCCATTTCAAGTGGAATGAAGTATGTAAGCACAGCATACTACACCACATAGAAACACAGTGCAGTGTGGTGGTGACATTGCTGGACATCTGTGTGCATTCCTGTTTTTCTGGCGGTCAAAGAAACAAAGCAAACTCAATCATGCAGAATTTACTCTACAATGCACTCATTTTTCAAATAAGCATAGTAAGAATGAGTAGCCGGCTGTCCATGTTGGCAGAGAGTATGCTTTTATTGTTAAGAGCATCTGAAAAGACATTACTGAAAATCAGAGTATGCTTAACAATACACATAGTGAGGATATAGTGATTAGGACAGGTTTTTAGATCCAACTTTTCTCATTAATCCATCATCTAATAGGTGAGGCCATTGTTCTCTGTGATACAATTTTATATTTACTTACTAATCTGTAACAGTGAGAATATGCAAACCTGATTCTGCTATAGTTTTAGATGTTTTAGTCAACCTCTTCCTTCTTAGCAAAATGTAGTTGGCATTGACATTCTGCTTCTGTCTTTCACTCTTTATCCCCCCCTCACCCTCCTTCCTTCCATTAGATCCTCCCACCATGCCTTCCACCATTACCACTCCTGTCCTAACTGGCTTCTCCTCCACTTTTGTGGATGATAAGGGCCACGTCCTTCTGAGCTCCCCCACACTTGAAGCCCTTCCCGAAAGTAATCTTGGTTCCATAGTGGGTGGGGCCGTGGGAGGGGCCTTATTCCTCTTGCTGCTGCTGTCTCTGGTTGGTGTGTGTTACCTACGGAAGCAGCAGACCTTTCATGGGAACTACTACACCAAGCAGTACCTGGGCCCAAATGATCTCCAGAAAGCTCCCACTCAGCACGAACTCCATCCTACCAAAGCTGGCAGCAGATCTCAGCATCGGGACCATGATCGAGAGGAGTGGGGCGACCGCCAGCTGAAGCAGGAGCGGGACCGCCGCCACCATAGTGACTATAACGGAGAAGAGTATCCTGTTAATGGGTACACTAGGGCAATGAGGGAGAGCAGGCGCCACAGTCATCAACAGAATCACCATCATGAACACACACAGTATTCTAGTCCACAGCAGGCCAGAGGTGTCAGATACCCTCATTCACCCAAACTACAGGGAAACGGCTCCCCCTACATGTCAGACGACTGCTACGATAGCGGGCCCGACGGTGATTATGTATCTCATAAAGATGGCTCAGTCATTTCACGCAGGGAGTGGTATGTTTGACAAGGTACCTAGTTCTGCAGGAACGAAAAAATGCAACATGAGTTGGAAAGTTTTGTTTATCAAATTAGGGGAAAACACATTATTTTCTTCTGTATGCACACACAGCATCTCTGTGTGTTTTGTAGTTAACATGTTTTTTTTGTTTGTTTTTTTTTTTTCTTTTCTTTTCAAGCGTCCTGGATGACACTTGAGATGTAATGTATACATTTCTGTTTTGAGTGTGGGCAGCCTGTGGACGGTGCATGTGCGGACTAACAAAAGAGCCGATGTATGTGTTGCTTCAGCCTTACAACATGGACTGCTACAGCTGATTGAGTATAACTAATGTGTTACTGAGCAGAAGCCCCGGTGGCTTTAAGATCACGCACGATTGTCTGAGAGAAGAGTTTTTTTTCACAAACTCTGCCTTTTGTGTTCATGTTGCTTGTACTCATTTGTTTAAATGAACTCTGGCCTCTTAGTGCAATTAGATGATGTCATGTAGTTATTGCAGGTAAATCCATAAAATTCAGATGGTCATTTTTCTTCAGTAAGACACAGCTGAGCCGCCGCACATCAGTTTATTTAAAACAGGATTTGTCTTCCTGAGAAATCTGAATTCCATTTTGACTAATTACCTAAACACACTCTTGGTCATAAGATTTATTGAACTGCTGTTTTTGCAGGATTTTGTAATGGATTGCTGAGTCATCAGACCTTTTTTGTTTTGTACTAAAATCTTAGGTAAATCACAATGGAAGAACTGAGCTTGAGGAGTTGACCAGTAAGGTTTTGGCACATTTTGTGTAAACCTTGTGAGCGAGGTTGTCCTCAGCTCGTCTTTTATCCCAGTGATGAGAGAGCAGGCAGGAGGGCTACATGAATGGGGCACAGTCTGCTGTGCCAGCACACTGGGTTTGTCATATCGGTCAAGCCTTGAAGCCTGGAAAAATATTTCTCTAGTTTATCATTTTTATTAGAACTTATGTAAGCTGCTGGTTTTTGGGAAGTGTTTCAGGTTAAACATTCCCTTTAGTTAACCACATTATCATGTTGTCTATCGGATGATAATGGATCTCTTTGAGAAGTTTAAGCCTGGCACTAAACCAGGACTCTTGGAATTTCAAGAGTGCCATCAGCAGGGGCATTGTTTAAAGAGGCTACTGTATGGGAGCCACCGTAAGCTGGCCTCTTAGTATTTTGTAGCACAGAAAAACCATGCAGCCAGTACACACTACCACACTCAACCACGTTGGACTGTTTGTCTACTGTGAGTAATCTATAGAAACAAGACATGACTGTGTCACAGATCTGTGACATGTATTGTTTGGAGTGTGCGGCCGCATGCTCAGACATTCACCATTTCATTTACGATTTAAACATTTGGTACTCAAAAAATTTTTTTAAAAAGTGTTATGTAGTTTTTGTAATGGCTGTGTTGTCACTTTCACCTGTGATTATCAGCACTTTTGACTAAACTCCACAGCACAGGAGTTGGAGACAATATTTTGTTGCCATCATCATTAAATCTTTAACACAGTTATCCTTTGAGTAGCTATTAAATGATAATGACACACCCTATGATTTTTCTTTTCCCCAAAAACATGTTTTATTCATTTAGAACCAGTCACCTTTTATTGCCAATCAGGACTCTCAAAAATCACATGCCATACCAAGAACTGTGATTAAACTGCGGAGAAAGCATTGTACGTGTTAGTGTCATTGGGCTCTGCAGCCCCAGTAGTTCAGGAATCAAACAAAGCTATAATGGATTTAAAGGTAAACTTAGGTTTTTGTAGAAACGTAAAAATTAGAGTATTTTGGCACATGCACCTGTTCACCAGACTGCATGGAAGAGATCTGACTTTTCTTTCATATACACTAGATGTGAATACTTGCCAACTTTAGTAGTATGGTTACTTATACAGTATTTTCTGCCAGATGCCAAATCTTTGTTTAACTTGTGTATATATATATGACGATGACAGTGTCTCACATTCGTATTACCGACTAGATAACAACTGATAATTAGCTTACTTAAATGACTAATGCATCACTGTT